AATTATAAAACAGCATATAATGATAGCGTTTGTCAGTTTTTTAACAGTATGTATTAGTTTATACAGTTTATTGCATTTTTAACATAGAGTAATCGTATTAATTAATAGTATACTATTAATTAACGCGTAAATTGGCATAAACCTACACCTTCAAAACTTCCTGATGCACGTTTTACTAAAATTGTTACAGGTTTTAATCCTTTTCCAATAACAAGCTAAAGCATATAGGCAGTACAGAGAATTCGGTCTACCGAATTCATAAGGCCAATTGCTTTAACTATGTTGGCGGCATTGTCTGTTGTAATTGAAGCCACTTTACTAGAAAGCTCCCAACTATTAATTATATCTTCTAATTTATTTTTAATTGTTAAAGCATTATGAGGATATGGAACATACTTAATTGCAAGTATAATTTTGTTTAATTTATAATTAGAATCAACAAAGTGATATGTAATTCCTATATACCCACTTTTTGAATGAGCAGTCCACAAGTCACAAGTTAAACTACATGTTTTAAGTTCTGTTTTAAAGAGAGCTTTAAGATGTTTTACTGAATAATTGTAGCTTTGGTGAATTCTTGCTTTGATTTGTTTATTAGAAGAAAGTTCATAATATGGATTTAATGTATTAATAAGTTTAATAAAACTTTTACTTTGCAGGACATGAAGAGGTTGTGAATTTGTAATAATCCAGGTAACCAAAGCATGTTCAATAGATTCATTTTGACGAGGATTTTGCTTAGCAGCACACTGAAACATTTCACCAATCGTTGGTTGTACAGCTATGTTGTTTTTTTCAATAGGTTTAGTACCAGTAGAGCCTTGAGTCTTAACTAATTGCCCACATTCCTGCTCACCATTTGGAGATTTTTTGTCTTTTATAATAACTTTACATTTTTATGGGTTTTTCACTTTCATGATGGAGGCTTTCTACGAAAGTAGTGCCAAACCCAACTTTCATTTTGGTTTAGTACTCAATTTATTATTATATTCTGTGTCGCTATTAGAGTTTATACTAATGTTATTGTCGCTTAATGTTTCATCACTAGAAGTATTAACATTAATAATGCCTTCCGAATCAGCATTAGCATCAGAATCTGCCATCAGATTAAAATTATTTTGGTAATTATTTTTTTCGTTTTTTAATGTTTAATATTTTTTTTTCGTGTACAATTTTTAATTAAGAAAATTCTTTGAGAAAATTTTTTTGATTTATTCAGAAGGCCTTTTATAAGATTTACCAAAAAAAAAAACTAATCTATTTTATGAAATTTTTTTATAAGATATCATATGCTATTTAGAATTCTTTATTAAACTGTTTATTTTTAATTTAAACTTTTCTTTTTTTTATACATATTCATGTGCCTTTGAATATTCTTGGCATTGAATTGTCAATATTCATGCGTAGAGTTAATATTCTATTATTCTATAGTTTTTGGGATAAATATTTTATTGTGTCTTTTTTTTTAATACATATTTAATTAGCTTGCCTTCTTGGCATTTACATTTCATATAATATCTTTAAATTCTGAATTATAGAAGCTTTGATTACGATTACATTGTTGCATAAAAGTCTAATATACAGTTTACTGTATAAAATATCCAAATCATACTTTTAGAATTAAATACTCGAAGTAATTAAAATGGGTATTGCATCTTGGAATATATTAATTAATAAATTAATATAGTTATGCCTCAGGTATTAATCAAGAATTAAGCCTGTATAAAGGGCGAAAAAGCATTTAAACTATATATTACTTAAATAAGTATTTTTATTGTGCTTAGTATTTATTTAATTAATATACCACTTTGGAATTTCATAGTTTTGAGATTAAACATTTAGAATTTTAAAATTTATCATTTTTATATGGCGATTGAGCTTGAAAAAAAAAACCTCATGAATTTAGGCTTTTATTTGTGTTATTTGTAACTTTATTTTTTCTCCAAGCTATATCCCCATTGGTTTCGAGAACTGTTAAAATATTAAGTATATGAAAATATACAATATATAATCACAGGCTAAATATGTTACGAAATAAAATTGGTCTTTGATTAAATTACTTCTTTTATTAATTTATTGATAAGCATAATTTGAGTCTAAACATTTTAAGAAAGGCTCGCTTCAGCCCAAGATATTATATTACTAAAGGTGGAAAAATTATTATTGAGGCTTGGGTGTTGCAGTAGATGTGCGTGAACATATGTATGTATGATATTTGATATTAACAGTTAATCTAATTTATGAATTATTGCTATATTGTTATTATTACTATATCTGGATAAAAATTAGATTTGCAATGGTTTAAAATTAAAATCTATATTTAATATTCTCTTTACAAAAAAAGTATCTGTTATCCTTTCTTCATCCGGATTTATCTGGATTTTATAATCCAGATCCAAACACTACTCAATGCCATTTTAATAACTATAAATAGTTAATTTATATATTATTTTAAACTTTTTTCTTCGGAATATATACATTTTCTCAAACTGCATATTTGTAATATTATATTATAACCCAATCTAAGCTTTCAGAGTTCCTGATGGCCTTGCCCTTTTTTAGTCTTTGGCTAAAAAAGATAAAATAAAAAAACAAGTAATTCGTCACTCTAGTGAAAATTACTTGATAAGTATTCCAACCTGTAACAATTTAGTTGCAAAAAACAATAAAAGATTAACAAAAATTCTTGAGAATGCTTTATCTAAGCATCAAGATATTCTATTTATAGCCGTTGATGTGGAAAAATCTACTGAATTCATAAATGGTTAGGCCAATTATGTATTGTATCTCTATAGTCCTCTTATTAATGAACAGAAAACAATAGTGATAATTTTAGATATTTAGATTTTTTTTAATATTCTAGTGTTAGAAGGAGAGACTCCAAAGCTATTCAAAATAAAAATAAGAAATATCTCTTCAATATAATCAAATTGTTTGAAATAGAGCATATAAAAGCTTTTTTATTTCGTAGTTATCATACAGAAAAAAGCTATATTTGTGCATTTTCATAGTTAATACTAAGCAAAGGAAAATAGCTATAAAAGCTATTCAAAAGAAAAAATACATAACTGCATCAGATGATTAATTTATATACTATCGCAAAGTGGCTTATGAATACAGAATTTCACTATCAAGATAGTCTACAATAAGTAATTATACGTATAAAATTGAAGGAAAGAAAAACTATTTTATATATATGCTTTTTGGCCTATAGAAAACCTGGTATCATTAAAATATCACTTTTCAATTTTAGCACTTATGAGAGATCGTATACTTGTTCTCACATGGGACATAGAAACATATAGTTTGCATGGATTGGGTAAACTTCTTGAAGTAATTAATGAAGAAGATTTTGTGATTATGATCTGCATAATATTGTATTGGAAAGATGGCCCAAGACCATTAAAACAAATTTGTCTTGTCAATATTAAAAAAGCACTAGATTTACACTAGATTACAATTGTATATAGATTGCAAACTAATTTGCTAAAAATATTTGCACTTTGCTGGTAAGCATTTGCTCCAGATATCTAACTCGAATTTAATAATTCACAATATAATTGGCCTTTCATTATAAAAAAAGCCAATAAGTTATATCTTATTAAATAAATATGAAAACAAATGTTGGAAAGAACTCATTAGCCGACTTCTGAAGATATTATACAATGGAATTATTATGAAAAATTAGGAGATGTGACTACTTTTAATAAAACTCTTTTTATAAAAGAGAATATAGAAAAAGAAGTAGAAGAAGAATTCAAAAGAGATTCTATTTTCATCAAAGTTAGCCTGAAAGATACCTTTAAATCTTTCTTTTTTAAAATATCTAAATGCATACTAATTGATATTTGTATATGTTTTAAGAGGCTTTATCCTTACTCAGAAGTAGAAAAGGAAAGTTCGCTGAAGTTTTATTTAAAATTATATAGGCTTGAGAGTAAGGCCAATATGTCTTTTAACAGATTATAAAACTACTATTCTGAGACAAAAGAACTCTCTTTTAATATAACTGCTAGAAATATACATGAGGTAGGACCCCGGACATCTATAATATAGGTCATATTTTTTTTTAGCAAATTGCAAAAAATTTGGGTAAAGGTCCAAATTTGAGTTTTAGCAAATTAATATCAATTTTAAAATAGATTATAATTGACTATTTTGTCGAATTATATCAATTTTATACAAGTTATATTTTATTTTTTAGCAAATTACCTACATTTTGGAAGAATTATACTCAAGAATAAGCTACTTTTTTTTAAACT